GAGGAGTGTTTCGGGTAGAGGAGACTTGGTTTTGATTGATAAAACTATCTTGTCAAGATAGCATGTCAATTTAAACTGACATGCTATCTGCTGACCTCCTTGTTGATTTTCTACAGAAAATGATTGCAGTATATGTAATACCAAAAACAAACTAGCGTCAATGACAACTAAGAAATTTTGCATGTCAATAATAATCATTTAAAGATGAGTTTATGAAGTTTTTGTTGTTCCACTAATTTGATTCAATTTTTGTGCTGGTTTCAAACCAAGTGAGCTTGATATATATTTGAACATTATCAAGATATACCAGAATGAAAATCCAGATAAAAAAACTAAGCGGTACTCAGCATTGTGGAAGGTAATTTTCATAAAAATATTCACAATTATTTTTCCTTATATGATAAAGTAAAAGCAATCCGATCAAGCATTAAAATTATGGAGTCATTAAACCATAATTTTAGTAATATTTTCCTTATTTACTTTTTACAGTTTCTATAAAAAAATAAATTTGGTTTAAATAGTTGAATATTCAACTATTTAAATCATATTAATTTTTTTATAGAAACTGTAGAAAGTAAATAAGGAAAATATTTCGTCGATGTAAGTTTTTACTTGAATCAACTTTATTTTCGTTAAACAGCTATAGGTTGTGCAGCAATAGGTTGTATTAAATCGTGGCGTTTTTGCTACAATATTTTGCGGTCAGCCTTCAGTGAAGCAGAGCCACCATAAATACATCAAATTTTCAATGCAGCTATTATCTAAAAGACCATGACGTTTCAAAAATGACGTTTTAAAAATGATAGCAATGGACGTGATTATAGTATGGCTGTGAATCTAAAGTTACCGCTGTATGAAAATTGTTTTGTGGTAAAGTTAAATTAATAATTTATGCTTTATGAAAGCAAAGTAGATTACCGAAAATCTTTATTTTAAAAAGATATAGCTTAATAACATTAGGATTTTTTTTTTGATACTTTAGTATAAATTGTAATTAACCTGTTCGTTCTTGTAATCATAAATTTGGTAAAAAAGGAAAAAAAAAAAGAAAATGTTTTTATCGTCTTTTGTTTAAAATATTGAACTTTTAGTTAATTTATTTCTGTTTAAATATATTAGCCACCAGTTTCAAATACTTTATCAACCGGTTTCAAATATTTCAGCAACCGATTTAAAATATTTTAGCAATTGGTAAGCCATTTTATATTTAACTATATGTTAACTTCCGGGAGTTATTTGTTTCGAAATAGATTAACCTAAAAGTTAAAATGTTTTAATTTATCACGGAGTTAATCCATTTTGCCGGTGTTGCAAAACAGATTAGCTCCCCGATAAATTATCCAAGTAACAAATCATCCAAAACCAAACTTTACAACACTAGAGGATATTTATCTTTTGACAAAATTGTTTTTTTTGAGAGAGTAAATCATTTTTAAAATGTGGTACTAGGTAAAATGCGAACTGCGAACCGCGAACTGGTAAAATGCGAACTTTTTTGCGAACCATCGCACAGTGGGCGGAATTTCAAAAAACCTGGCCAAAAGTCAAAAAATGATTATAATTAATGGAAAATTTCTGTATAGCATTTTTTTGAATCCCCAACTTTGAATTGAACATAAGTGTACCAAAATTCAATATTGGCAGATCCAAAATGGCGGTGTTTTGAAAGAACAATAATCATTAAAATGCCTTTGGGCCTTCGTGTTTAACCAATTAGTTATAATTCGACATTTAAGTTCAATAGACTAATGTATTATTTACATTACATATATAAACATTATATATAATATCGATGTAGGGTCGTCCATAAATTACGTCACGCAATTTTTGACCGTTTTCGAACTCTCCCCCCCCTCGTCACAAAATCGTAACTCTTAAAAGCGAGTTTTGACTGAGTCATCACAAAACCACCAACCCCCTCTCCCCCCTTATAGCGTGACGTAATTTATGGACGACCCCTATATAATGTATTATGACCGTATTATTATGCCGCAATGTTAACAAAAATAAATTGGAAAATTCATTATTTATTATACTTATTTATTTGTTCAAAGAAAACAAGGAAAACTTTTATTTGCATCATTTATCATAATTGTTTCATTTATATTACTTTAAAATAAATCACCACTGTCATCTGAATCATTTATTATTGAAATATTGTTGAAAAACTCAATCACAGACGAATGAGTTTCAGAGTTTTCGTTAATCTCCGGAGGTAATAACATTTGTAAAGCTTGAGAAGACAAAGATCTGCTAACTTTTGCATGAGATTTTAAAAGTGAAGATAATGCAGGATCTGACGAAACCAGAAGTCTGCAAAAAACGTCATGCATTGTATTTTTTCTGGAATTTTTCCTAGAGAAATCTTCGCGATATTTTTTTAAGTCTTTGTTTCTCGATTCCTGTGCATCCTCAGATAGTTGTACTATGGGTAGTATTGCTGTTTTTGTTATTAAGGCTCCATGAATAAGTACATTGTGTACTGTTGTAGGCATGTTGCACCAAGGATACTTTTCAACAAAAAGTAGTGCAGTTTCGGTAGAATAGTTATAAGTTTGTCTGCGTCTATAGGAAAGCCATTAGATAATACCTGTAAAATTACATGAAACCGATTTATTAGTTCTAAATCCACTCCTAGAATATCAGCAGACAATTGTGAGTTTTTAAAAAATCTTCGAGCTGTATTTCCGTCATTTGTATTACCGCATCCTGGTTTCGGTCGATCAACTATTAACCCTAGCTGCAGCTTAAAAGCATTCTGGATTAACAATTTTTGTTGCAATATTAATTTTTTTCAATGTCAGAACGTGCTTGCCATTTTTTTATTCCAAGTTTATACCCAAGATGCAAAAAACATTCAAAAAATCGAATCCATGCGTGCAACGTTGATAAACCGTATTCCAATTTTGATTCGTCAACTTTTATTTCTTTAACAAAATTGATATTATTGAATTGACTCGAAGTAGCAGAACACAAATAACACCGCATTGTTGATTTTGTCAATGTTATTGCATTGCAAACTTTTCCGTCAACCATTGTCATAACCAATTTATAATGTATTTTAATTTCTATTTTATGTTGAACAATGATGATTTAATTTTATCTTCAATATAGTCTTTTTCATTAATGCTTGTATGGACATTTTTGTGAAGAAATTGCAGTCTGATAGGTCGGCAAAATCGAGTAGATGAGGGTGTCCTATTTTTCCATAGAATAACATCTTTACCTTAAACTGAATTTGTACACAAAAGTTGTAATGGTACAAGTGAAGTCAGAAAAACATTTGCATCTGAGTTTCTTCCATCGGCAAATCTCTGTTTATATTCATTATGACCGGAACTGCCATCAAACCCCCACCTAAGAATTAAAATAAAACTTGATAAAATATTTACATTCAAGGAGCCAATTACATCTTGTTGATTTTTTATAATTCGTAAACAAGTGTGATTTAATAAAGATTGCAGTTTTACTTCGGCGCTTATTTCAGTTACCGTTATATCTTCAGGGTAACACATTTTCTTGGCTTCTTTAAGTTTTTCGTAAGATGGTAAAAAAGAAGAGCTATTCGCAATTGCAGCACTTCTTATAATGCAATATTGGTGTTTAGAAAGCTTTGCTTCCATTAGTATGGAAAGAGCTGTTTCAGCACATAGTTCAGATGTTTGTGAAATTTGGGACAATTTAAGGCTCTCTATATAATTTGCGACTCGGTGTTGAATGGTGGAAGGTAAATCTTTGTGGTTTTCAAAAGCCACTAACTTCTTCTTTTTTTGTGTTGAATGGTGGAAGGTAAATGTATATATATATATATATATATATATATATATATATATATATATATATATATATATATATATATATATATATATATATATATATATATATATATATATATAATATAATATAATATATATATATAATATATTTTATAATATATATAATAATTCTTTGTGGTTATCAAAAGCCACTAACTTCTTCTTTTTTTGTGAATATTACTTTTAGATTTGTTTTTTTTTGAGAATATTATTATTCAGCCAATAACTTAATAAGATCGATTATTGATTATAGAGTGTTTGAGTGTTTTCATTTTCCAAAACACTATTGCAATCCAAGCATAATGCGCATAATTTTTCTTTCACAAATCATAAGAGCATTGCACTGGCTAGAACAACTGGAATTTTAACTGCAGCTCGCTAGTCTTTTTTTAGTACTCTTAAAAAAGTTTTAACAGCATAATACGACAAAATTTATTTCTTAAAGAAGATTGAACTCTGATACCCTATTTCTAGGCAAAGAAAACATTAACTTTAAATGTTTTTAAATTTTAATCTTTTGTAGTCATTAGATGGACGGATCATTTGTAACGAAGAACCGTCCATCTAATGACTACTTCTTAGTTTGAGGACCACGTTGATCTTTTGTTATTTCACTGACCCAAGTAAAGAAATTTTGATAATTACTTTTAACTTGGTACTGCAGATAAACCTATAAAGAAATTTTGTGTAAAAAACTTTTTAAACAAGATCTTTATCTTCACAGTTTTTAAACCTCTTGGAGATCTTATATACGGTAATTGAAATGGTCTAACACGCCATAGCTAGTATGGGGTGGTTAAATTTACCTAGCACAATTGCCAATGAATACTGGCATTCATCACAATAATTTTAGTTTTTATACTAACAAATATTATTTATTTATTCATGCATTAATTAATGGTATCCATGGATCCTAAGACGTTGTTCTTTTAACTTCACAACTGTATTAGTCATTGCACACAACGATTAAGACTATCAAATACTGATGATGTTGCATGCTGCGAGCTCTATAGCAAATTTTTTTTAAGCAGTGAATTTTGTTATTACTATAAATAAAATATTAATTGTTTAATTAATTTTTAACAAGTTAAATTTTTAATTACGCATGTTGTTTTTTTTCCAATTTTTACATTAAACTTTAAATAAGTTTTTTTCTTTTAATAAATTTATTTTAGCATTAATACCAGCAGAGGTATGGAGTATATGTTAATGGCTACAGTCGTATATGTTATAAATCTTTAAAATGAATTTTTTTCTTGCAATACAAATGTTTGTTGCAAAAAAGATTTATCTTGACCTACGCTAATAGAAACAAACGTAAAATTACTTTTTTTAAATTTGCATCTTTTATGTTAACAGTTTTTGAAATTTTTTTTTTTTTTTTTTTTAAAGTTCATTTCTTGCAGTAGTAAATAATAAATTCTCTCAAAACACTCATATCATTGAGTATTATGGCGAGTAAAGAAACTTATTGGTATATGAAGATTTTTGTTTATTTTGATATACTCAAAAATATTCCAAAGAAATCAGTCTATCGACAACTCTCTTTTTAAAATATATATATATATTATATATATATATATATATATATATATAATATATATATATATGTATATATATATATATATATATATATATATATATATATATATATATATATATATATATAATATATATATACATATATAAATATACACATATAAATAAATATATATATATATATATATATAAATATATATATATATATTATATATATATATATATATATATATATATATATATATATATATATATATACATATATATATATATATATATATATATATATATATATATATATATATATATATATATATATATATATATATATATATATATATATATATATATATATATATATATATATATATATATATATATATATATATATATATATATATATATATATATATATATATATATATATAAATTAATATATATGTATATATATTAATTTTTAGATTAAGCTGAAAATGAAAATCAATAAAAATGTTTTCTTTTGTATTGTAATGTTAACTTCAACAACATATACTATGACACAGTATATTTACCCTGCTAGAAAGTCATCATCTCCTTATGCTTTCACTGTTTACAAAAATAAACAAGTAATAGACAACACAAACTTTGTGGGAAGTTACACAGGCTACCCTGATTATAATAAATGTGTTAATATTTGTTATAATACTATTGACAAGTGCAAATCAATAGAAGTGCATATGGTGACAAATGTTTCGTTTACATGCCGAATTTTTAACAATGATTTCCCGGTAACTCAATACGCCAAAGGATTTATTTTCATTAAAGCAAAGCCGGTAATTTAATATCAAATAAAAAGCGAAAAAAAATTTAAAAATTAGCTTTTCGTTGTATGCCTTATTTTTCTTTGCAGCCAAACTGTTCTCTTAGCTGCAGCGTAACATTTTATCCTTGTGGAAAATGTGAATGCAAACCGTCATGTGCAGCAAGAAACCGTCGTCAATATATTTGTAACTGCACTAAAGGTAAAATATATATTTAATATATACAAATATTTAAAGAACAAGTATATATATATATATATATATATATATATATATATATATATATATATATATATATATATATATATATATATATATATATATATATATATATATATATATATATATATATATATAAATATATTTATATATATATATATATATATATATATATATATATATATATACTTGTTCTTTAAATATTTGTTTAAAATTTTTAGATCATTTTTTTTCCATTAAAGTGCAGTCATAATAATTTTAACAAGTGTTTTGATAGTATCACACAAGTATTACTATCAAAAAAAACTTTTATAGTATTATTATTAAAAAAAAAGAAAAAAAAATTTAGTAGTTTCTGTTTAAAACTTCTGATTTTAATTTTACAAACCACTTTTTGCTGGGGTTTAAACCAGGTGGATTGTCCGGCCACGGAGCCAAATTAATATCTGTATATTCTTAGAATCATGTCTTGAAAACTTTAGCCTGATAAAAATTTTCTCTGTTTGTACATGAAAACATCAAAATTTTAATTTGAAACAAAGCAGTTGTTCTTTAAAATTTTTAAAAAATTTGCGGTACTGACTGACTGACCTTGTTTTCAAAGATGTAAACCAGCACATGTAGACCGTTATATTTTTTTGCAAAAGCTCTTATTTAGCATGAGCTAAATAATTTGCAGATACCCCGAAATTTTTTTTTTTTTTTCAGCTGCAGGATTAGCAAAGAGTTGTCAAGAACACTATGATCGTGGTTTTAATAAAACCGGATTATTTCAAATATATCCTAATGGTTTGGCGTTTGAAACTTTTTGTGAGATGGAAAAAGTTAAGCGAGAAAACCCAATAGGTAATTATTTTATGAATTTCAAAAAATTTTATAAACCACAAACCAGCAAACATTTTTGTAATGGATTTGAAGTAAATCTTTATTGGTCCATTGAAATTTTACTCATTGGTTACTAAGTGGATCATTAGTCTCATTCTCTATAAGTAACCAACCAATAACTTTCCAACATGTAAATTAGTGACTAGTTAACGGCTAGCCACTTGAACAGCTGCCTTTAATGGTTTATATGGTAACCAATGAGCAAAACTACAGTGGACCACACATAATTCCTATACAGATCCTTTGTTCAAATATAGTATGTTTGGTGTTTGCTAACGCTATAAAATGTTTGCTGGGAATCTTATCGTTAAACATTCTAACATAACATAAAAATTCTTAAGTACATTTTATGGATTAAAAAGTATGCAAAAATATTTTTGACTTTTATTTTAGTAAATCTCCCATGTTCATTGCAGCCAAATTTACAGCTGACGTTTTATAGTTATTATGCAACAAATACCTTTTCAGTATCATATTGCGTTATATCATGCGCTGCTCTAAACTTTAATAATATGTTTTACTACAACACTGGTTGTTTCTGTGGAAACATTATTGATGAAATCGATGATTATCATCCGGAATATAATTATGCATATATTTATACTCAAACAGATTATTGTTACATCGGTAAGTTATTTTTAATTGCAATTTTTTAAATTTAAATACTTTTGTTTAAAGCATAACAATTTATTTTGAAGAGCTTATAATGCATTGAGATTGCTTTGTGGATCATTAGTGACATCTGCTTCAAGTAACAAGCTGATAACTTTCCAACAGATGATATAGTAGCTAGTTATTGGCTAGCCACTTTTGGCAGTTGCCAATAATGGTCCACTATGTAACCGATGAACAAAACTACAGTGGACCGCTCGAAATGTCAATTAATTCATAGCAACTCTGCAACAAAAATGCTTGCTGGGACTGAAGACAATGTTCATTAGAGGAAATTCAAAAAATTTGACTATTTAAAGTTTGAACCCCCTTAATTTAAGGGTGTTTCAAACTTTATATAGTCATAATTTTTGAACGCTGAGAGGTTATACTATGAAACCTAAAATTTATCTATGAATATAAGTCTAAGTGAGCACAAAAAATATTTTATCAACTTATTGCTCTCACGTTAAGTACGGGAGATGGGTTTAGGGCAAAAGTTTTGAGGCTTTTTTGTTCCCAGGCTCTAATTATCACAATATTTTGCAAAGCATTCTTATTTGACATAAGTAAAAACATACAAAGTTTTGAAGTTTGCTCCATGCCTGGAAGTTAGCCATCTCAAAGACCATAAATTTTATTTTTATTTCATTTTTTATGAGAAAGTTATTTTTTAAATTTATACCTATATTTTGTTTCCTTCTTAAAATGATAAGTACTAAACCTTCTTGACTCAATTATGAATTCTTGTGATTAACTGCTTGTAAGTGTGCAATTCCTTTTGTTATATTTAAGGAGAGTACTACTTTATGTAGTAAAATTGAATTGAAATTTTGATTTTTAGCCTATTGACAAGATTGCTAATTAAATGAAATAAAATGTTTTTAACATAAAAATTATATTTTTGTCAGATAAGTTACTAACAAAAATAAGCAACTTGTTTAAATAAGAGTTCCTAGACCCTTTATTGATTTGGGAAAGACCTGAAAACAGTTTTATTGTGTCTTTTGAGCAAAATACAAGGGCAAAACTATTTAAAAAGCAGAATCAAGAAAAAACTCATAGTGTTAATAGAAAAACTGTCTGTTTTCTTAGTTTGAAAAAAGCTAATAACGCATCTGACTGATTTTATGATTAAACGCTGTTAAGAGGTTTTTGGTCAACCTATCTGTTGATTAGGCCTTAGAAAACTGTTAAGTAGCCCTTAGAAAAATTAACAATGGTGAAGATGTTCAACTTCCCTTACTGTCTGACTACCAAAACATAAAGATTCGTCCTTCAGCAAGAGAGTGTGGTTGCATGTTTTGTTATATGGGAAAAACCAAGTTGGAAGCCCTTAGGCTTATTGGAACAAAAACACAATCAGTCAGCTGAAAAAACAGCCAGTTGCTGAGAAACGCTGTTGAGCATGCTTTTCAATGATTGAAAGAGGATTCCACATAAATATGCAAAAGGAATGCTTTGACAGAACTTGCTTGAGGTTGCAGCAAAAGACATAAAAGCAGCTGAAAGAGTAACTGCTTCTGTTATAAATAACAAGGTTCCTTAAACCCAAGGCACTGTGCGTTATAGTCAAGGAATAAGAAGACATCTTCCAGTTACTTATCCGGCCATGTGCAGTGGTTAGAATTTTCGCGGTGCTCTGTGACAAGACCGTTAGGACTTCTTTGGGCATCTAAATAATAAAATAAAAAAAAAAGTTACTTCTGGTGAAAAATATTTTAATTTAGTTTTATATGCTTAATATGCTTTTGTTTTAGTGAATTTTTTATTACAACAAAAAAACTTTACAATATAAATAACTGTGTTATGTTGATGTAAACTTTTTTTCCAGGGTCATCAAGGCAAATTTTAACTAGTTGACTGCTTAACAACTTCTACAAGTTCAAAACCAGACTGGGCTTTAAGTACTCAACCAAGTAGCATATCAACGAGTAGTTAAAAAAAAAATTGAGGGAAAAATTTGCGTCTATTTGAAAGTATCTTTTTGACTTGTTTGTAATTTTAGAATTTTCAGACAAATACAAACGTTTATTGGAGAATAATTATAATCCAAATCTCTATTGGTGTACTGCAAAGATGTTGGAGCTCTAGGCAATATTTTAGTTCAGATCAGAGGTCCTCAGTCAAATTTATCAACTTATTTAGGTGGGATTTGATAGAAGATAGCGGGTTCCTAAAAGTGTTTCTAGAGCTTCTTGACTTAGAACCAATTGCATCTCGCCTAACTAAGAAAACTCACTTCAAGGACTCAGGAGTGAAGCATCAACTTCTGATGGCTGTTGCAGAAAACAACTATGAAAATTATGAAAATGTTGAGCAGATCATGGAAAAAATTGAGCTTTGAGAGATCGCCTTTTGTGGTGTCATATGACATGAAGCTTGCAAACATTATTTTTGGTTTGCAGTCTCACTTCAGTGTTTGCCCGTGTACCTGATGTGACATTGAGTCAAAGAATCTTCATCAGAGTGGTGAACTCCGAATATTTGGCTGATTATACAGGCATCCAAGAAGTTTGTTTTTTAGCATTTCCATTTATTGAAATATTTCTCATGCCTCTATTGGAAATATTCCTCAAAACAACTATCGGATTTTCATTGAAGAATTCAAGGATTCCTACCTCAAGCTTCCAAACACTTCCCAAAACGCATGCTGTCTTTTTCATGTAACACAGTTTATTGATTGCCACAATTACTTACTAGGCATCTATTAAGAGCAAGCAACAGAAACACTACATCATGACTTCAACTATCAATGATTCAAAAGGCTCAGTAATCATCCGGACTACCCTAAGCATCTTTTAAAATGTTTGGTTGATTAAAACAGCAAGCATTCCTTTTAACTTCTTTGTAGAGAATACTGTATTATAACATATGATATGTACGAAATTACCTTTCAACATTAATATTTAAGAACTATAATTAATAAGAGTAATTCTTTTTTGTTTGTTGTTGTTTCTAATTTGTAAGTACACTGTTTATTTACAGAATATGTTCGAACAAGTTTCAAATGTTTGCAATATAAAATGTAATTCTTTTGTTCAAAGCAATAAAATCAAAAATTAAATTAAATTGTTTTTTTCACAGACGATGATAAATGATTTCAAAACCAACTCTAATGTACTCTTACATACTTGTACTATCATACTCCTAAAGGTTTTTCGTGAGAAAAAAGGCTGAAGTTAAAAGTCTTTTGTGACACAGGGGCTATATATCAAAAACTCATTTCAATCATATTAATAATGTAATTAACAATGTGATGTATAGGTGATTTAAATTTTGGAGCTTTGCAATTTAGTTTTACCTCAAGGCTCCGAGCCAGCTTGGAGCAGCCCAGGAAAGTTTACGAAAAATTCCGACTTTTGACTAGTCAACTTTTAGTCGATTTATTCGAAGTTGATAACAACACTAACCTATTTCATTTAATCACTTTAAAACGTAAACATTTTAAAGTGGTTAAATGAAATAGATATTGTGTTTAACAATAGATAGAAAGTTGTGGAAATAAAAATAGAATGAAAATATATAGCAAATATAATTAAAAATATTTTTTCGGTTTAATTAGTTTCTTTTAATATTTGATTTTTTATATAGGGCGTGATTATACTGATTGTACATTAACAAGACTCTATTACAGACATGCTGTTCAAATTGATACAACATACAATATTCAAGCTCCTTCACCAACAACATGTGTAAACTTATGTCAAACATACCGGCAATCAAATCCAACAAATAATGGGTATATTTCAAGTGGGGTAGCTGAAAACAATGGAGACTGTAAATGTCTTTATGGATTTCATGGTCAAACAGCTAACATTAAAAATGGTTGTTCTTATTTTCAAACAATTTCAGCACCAATACTTCCAAGTGTTGGAGGTATTTTTAAAATTTGTATAACATTTTCTCTTGCAAGTCTTAAACAGATTTTGCTGATTGATAACTGTTTTTTTGTATTTGTTTTGCATATACTTTTTATTTAAAATTCTTTTAAAAACTTAAAACTCAGATTTATGCACAGAGTGGTACTCTATGCACAAATCTTAGTTTTAGTAAACTTTCCTTTAAAAATCAGTAATTAATTAATTAAAGATAAAAAAAGTTTTGAACTTACCTTATATGCAGATAATATAAAGTCTTTCTAAATACAAAAATAAAAAAATACTTAATAGAAATCAAAAGCTGTATAACACGAATGAAAGTAAATTAATGGAGGCATGACAACATGTTAAACAACAAAAAAAAAACTTGGTGTTAATGAAAAATTGACATCAGTCAATTAGCTTTCAGGTTAGTTGATTATTAGGTTAAAACCTATCAGGTTAGCTGATTATCAGGTTAAAAGTCTAGAATTAAATAACGCTTCTGCTCCAATAAATATTTTTATCAGTTTTTTATCATTATCATCAGCATTACTTACAATACCAAATGTAGCTTTCTTTTGCGGACTCGATTTTTATTTTATGAACTTCTCCAAAGTGTGGTCATCCAGAAAATGAAAATTCCGCTTCTCAATTTGCTTCAACAAAGATTTTACCGTTTTTCGAAATCATTCGGACACCCGTAAAATCTTTGAAGTTTATCGATAAAAAACCCAAAAAACGTGTTTATGAATTAAGTTTATGCTTTATCCAAATACTATTTTTATATGTAAAACCTGTAATGTGAGCAGATAATAAAGCAAATAAAATTTGTTTTTTATGTTTTTTACTCCTACAAATTTTTTATTTAGATTCTTACCAACGATTTCTACTTTAGCTTGCATTATCAAAAATAGACTCAATATTAATGTCAAGGTTTAATTGGTTCCACGCGCATACCTTTCTACTTCATTATATTTTTTTAGCTAGTTTTATTTATTCTTTCCTTGGAAAACTTAAAAGTTCTTTTTTTTAATAACACAATCAAGTTTCTTTTTCAATACTCAAGGGATTACGTCTGGAATTCAGAAACATTATAAATTTTTAGTATTAGTTATCAATACAACAATTGAAATAAAACTATCAAATAATATACCGTGTATCAACAACAGATTGGCTCAATTCCAAACATCGATTTCCTCAAATTTTTACTTTATTAGGCCAACTAGTAAAGTAAAAATTTGAGTTTGTCTTTAGTTCGTTAAAAATAAATAAAGCAACTGGATAAGATGATATTAATGGGAATGCGTACTATAATAGACTTTTTTTGATGATATAATACACATTTTTCAAACTCTTTAGAGCATCCATCAGTCAAGGAATATTTCCAGATTCGCCCTCAGGGGCGTCGCTTCGAGAAAGAGATGGGGGCGGAGCGGGTAGGAGGCCCCCTTTCCCCCTCAGAATCTTTTATAGAGAAAAATTAGGAATTTTCTTGCCACGAGTTGGGACAGTTAGGAAATTGGTGATAAAATGAGAAAATATTTTCTAAATAAATAAAATAGAAATCAAAAAACAATATTATTCTTACCTTGATTACGACAAATTAATTTCTTTTTAAACTATTAGCTAATGATTAACATAGTAAATTTAAAAAAAATTAAAGTTAACTAAGTTAAAACCATATTTTAACAGTAGAAAAAGTAAACATATGACAGTCCGTAGATCACCAAAGTAGAACTAAAGAAATAGAATAACAACTAAATTTAAAATGTTTGTAATACATAATATTTGCAGTTAAACATGAAAATTAACTCTACCATCAGGAGATAATAAAAATAAAGTTATAAAAACGAGCAAAAAATAAAATTTAAATTAAAAAAAACAACAGGAAAATGTTATTTTATAAGTATGATCTTTTCAATTAAAAAAAAAAATGTGTTTTGAAACTAGCAATTCTAATTAAAAATCTTGTATAATTCTCACCTATAAAATATTTTATCTGTATTAATATATAATGTTATGAAAAAATATAATGTTATGAAAAAATATAATGTTATGAAAAAATATAATGTTATTAAAAAATTAGTTTTATACAGAATCACGCACTAAACAGAAACAATAAAAGTCTTTCACAGAGTTCATGCAGTTTGTTAATATCTCAACAACTCATAGTTAATTTATTAATTTAACTCATAGGATAATTTATTACCGTTGCTCAGACGTTCGACTAGAGAACGGAGAAGGCCGACATATTTAAATGACTATTTGCCTTAAGAACTTAGTCCTTAGGGAGATGTTAATAGCTAATGTGTTTTCTTGAACATATAAGGACACATCGATAAAGAAGATACACAGCGAAAAATTGATTTTTAAGTTTTTTCATGTTGAAAGTACTTATTAGATAACTATGAATACCTAATTCAGTAATAGTTCTTGATTATTATGAAAATTATTAACTTCAATGTAAAGTATTCACAAAATTTCAAATGACAATATATTATTTTGACACAGAGAATCATAAACACTGTCACAGCAGTTCTCAAATCATTTTAATACTTTGCATGCACTGCTGACTTTGATGGTGTTTAGTGTGAGAATAAAATGTTTAACTTTTCAACAAAATTATAAACATAATTTAATATTAATTTAAATTTATATTAACTGAAAAATATATTTACAAACAAAACTAAAAAAATTAATCAATAAAAATATACAAATTAAACTAAAAACATTCAAATACTTTTTCTTTTAGTAGATGTATTTAAGTATCCCGCTGCCCATTCTAACTTCTTACACTTCATTTTTAATAAGGGTAATCCCTTCCCTTTATTAAATTGAGGCGAAATCTTATTGCATATTCTAGATATATAGGACTTTTTTAAAACTTTGAAACTCGTGTCATCTGCCATGACAGAGAAATACAAACTGCAACTTCACAACAACTTAGAAAATCAAGCACGTTTTGTTTAAACAGTCCATAAGTAAATCTATTCTTGCGGCGAAAAAACCACGTGATCATTGCGTAATGAAAAACAAAAATACCTACCATTATGATATGGGGGCAAACAAACGCGATGATTTCAGTACAACAGTAACAGATTTCAGTAAACGCCTTGAAAATGTCTTATGATTATCAAGAAAAGTTATCTAAATAAGCTGCTGAACGTTACCAGAACAAAATTTAGCGTTATATTGAAATAAATCTGTGCAAATGCTTTAAGGAATCATGGAATTCAATTAATTCATCATTTTGAAATTATTGCCAGTTTACAGATGTAGTCAATAAATAAAACAAAAATATTACATATTGATATTCCAATAACAGTTAAAAATTCTATATTTTGCTTAAAATTTTTCTCAGTGTAATATTTATTCCTCATGTTTTTAATATATGTGAAATAAATGTTATAAATAAAAAATATTTTTTACAGTATAATAATGAAATGATCAAAATTACTAATTACAACAATTTGAATTATAACATCGTAACAATATTTATAAAGTTTTTTAGTCAATGGTATGAGGATTAACAATATTATGTCTTGGCTTTTAAAAAATAACATAAATGACTTTTTATCTTTATTCACAAAGGAACTCTCTAAAACCAGTGACAGCAGCAGAAACTCTACTAAAAAAAATGGAACCAATTTGTGCTGAAAGCATTTACAAATTAATGTCTTATGTATCATGTTAACATGAAAAAAAAAAAATGTTAACATGATACATAAGACATTAATTAAATAAAAATTTTTAAAAATATAACTAAATAATAAAGAAGAAACTTACTTTGTAAGATTGTTTTGTGACCTAAGAACAATCCTAAAGATTAAAAATGACAACATTAAAAGTATGTTTTACTTTAAAACATGTTTCTTGCCTATTAGTAAATGATTAGAAGTGACGAGTTTAAGTAAAAAAACTATCTAATAATCATTTGTAGCAAGAGACACCAACGAGAAGGTAAGCAAAGTTGTCTATCAACACAAAACATCACAACAATAACATCACAATAATAACACAATAAAACAAAATAAAATTATACACATGACTTACAAGTGAATCAACACCGCACTAGAGGTTGAAACAGAACACAAACACACATGTCTAAAGGGTGAGCCAACATGACACCAGAGGTCGACACAGAACATAAACACATATATATTGACTTATGAGTGAGCCAACATACACATAATCACTTACCTAGCTAATGCTGCATTATTTATCAGTACTTATTTGTTCACTGACTTTAATAACTTGAGATTTATTGCAATGACTTTTTTGTACATAATATTCTAAAAAAATATTAGCATGTTTGAGGTATATAGTAAATACAAAATTTGTGCTCAACAAGCTATTGAACATTAATTAATTTAAAAATAAAAACAATAATACATGATTTATAAATGCTTAGTTTTAATGGATTAATATTTATATATACAATTTATTTTTGTTATGCATCAATGTATAACAAAAATAAATTGTAACTATTATATAAACAGTTTTTACAAAAACATTTTAAACAACAAGATAAACTATATTATATAGTTTATCGTGTTGTTTATACAGTACATACCAATATTATATAGTATATACTAAGTGAATTGTTTAATCTATTTATTCTCCTTTCATTTCACATAACAATTGGTTATGTTGGAGGGATGATTTCACTATATATTTTTTTTAACACCTAACATATTTACTGATGGAATATAGTCAACATGCTTTTCAAAATTTTGAAAAGCATCTAAACTATATTCTTTTTTTTCCTAAAAGAGAAACATAATTACAATGAATAAAAATATATAGACGAAAAAAACTTAATAAGTTTAAGAAAAATTTGTGCTCAAATATTTTGACGATTTAAATACAAAACTTACCAAATACAAAATGTTTTGAGCAAACTTAGACATGTTTTGCGACCAAAGTTTGTTTGCAAGATGAATCAATTCTATATAAAGCATAAAACCACGATTTTCTTCTCTTTGGATCAGGAAGCAAAATATAAAAAATCAAGTTCGGATGACTATTAACATTAATTGAACAATCAAAAACACATTTCTCTATTTTCAAGCGCTTTGTTTGCCCCCATACCATAATGGTAGCCGTTTAGTTAGTTAAAGTGACGTCACGTTCGCCGCAAGGATAACTTCAATACATTAAAATAAATACAAATTTAAAACTGAAGATAAAGATAAATTAAAGCTTAAAACCTACAATATGTGATAAGCAATACAATTAAAATATCTATCAAAATATTGTTATTCATTTTTAAACATTTTTTTACAAAAAAAATTTATTAAATTAAAAACAAAAAATAAACAAACGTAATTTTTAAAAAAAACAACATTATTTTAAAGTAAATTTAACTTTATACAGTCTATTCTGAATACCACCACCAGACAATAACACTGTACTAAATGATTAGATTCATATAAAACATGATTAAATATCTGACAAAAACAAAAGCAATAAAAAATAAATTACAACTTACTTATATCTTAAATAAGGTCGTCTTCAGCTTCTATAACTTTAACAATTTGTCGAGATACAATTTCAATACATCACCTATAAAACAGAACATGTTTCATAAACTAAAACATTAAAAAATTAGACTTTAGTAACTTTAGTAAAAACAGATTAAAAATTACAAAATATACATTTTATAAATAAAAATTCAAAAATTATAATATTTATGATAATAATAATAGCGAGATTCAAAGATATTTCAGAGATTTATAAAAGTTAAATAAGAAATTCAAATACTTATCGCGTGCACATCTACAATGCCTCCTGCATAAATTAAAAGCGTCCGAGTTGACTCTTCCAATACTCTACGGAGTCTAATACTATTTTGATGGTTTTCTAAATTCTGTCATTGTTGCGCACTCGGTTTAGAATGTTTAACCGGGGCGTGGTAAAAGAGTTGTAAAACTCTAAATTATCTTATTACTTTTATATTGTATATTGGGTATTTTTAACATTTTTTTCATTTTTAAATAAAATAAATTTAACAAAATGATTTGTTTTAAGGTGGTAGATCCCCTTTTTTTTAACATTTTTTCAAAAAAAAATATTTTTATTGATTCTTATGAAGAATTTATCGAGGAATTCAAATTTAATCAGTAAAATAATTTATTTTAAGTAGAAAACACCTAATTCAGATGATTTTAATTTTATTATGAATTTTGACATTTTAAAAAGAGTTATTGAAAAATTCAGTGTGTGCCCACTGTGTTCAAATCCAGTGACAGTCAATAATAATATTAAAAATAAACGTGGTTTTTATTTAAGTTTCCAGTTTTGGTGTGAGTTTTGTAACACGAACGTCAGTGACTTTGAAACTTCGACTGAATGTGACAAAAAATATACCAACAAGGCAACTGTTAGAGAAGTATCAACTATAAATCTTCGAATGGTTATAAGATTTCGTGAATTTAACAAAGGTTTTGCCTCAATTCAAACGTTTGCACGGTCTTTAAATATGCCCAATCCAATGACTAAAAAAAACTACAAGAATATAAATCAAATTTTACATGAGAATTATACTAAAGCTGCTGCTGAATCCACTTCCCAAGCAGCACAAGAAACTGTTACCATACTTAATGGGAGTCTTACAGACATTGCTACTAACTGTCAAGTATCTATAGATGGGACATGGCAGAAACGAGGACATGCGTCGTTTGACTATAATGTCAAGAGAAAATGAAAAATGTATTGATACGTATGTTTTCTCAAAGTCATGTAAAGGTTGTCAGTATTGGGGTAAAAGAAAAAATGATTCTGAATACAATGAATGGAATTTGAATCACAAATGTTTAGCTAATCATGACAAAGCTTCTGGGGTTATGGAATCTGCGGGGGCGGTGAAGATGTTTGCTAGATCAATCGAGAAAAATAACCTTCGATATACATCATCCATTGGAGACGGAGAACTTTATCTTTTAATGATGTAATCCATTCTAAACCATATGGTGACAATTAATAAAAAAGAATGTATTGGACATGTACAGGCCTTAGGAATTTGCGACAGGAAAAAAAAGGTGTTAATTTATCTGATAATAAAAAAATTATAGGAAAAGGTAGACTCACTGATAAAGATCTAAATACACTTCAGAACTACTATGGAATGGCCATTCCACAAAACTGTTGAAATATTTATGCTATGAAAAAATGTATTTGGGCTGTTCTTTACCATAATTCAGACACTACCAACCCGGTTGAGCGACATAAGTTTTGTCCAAGGAGTGATACAAGTTGGTGTATATGGCAAGCAGACCAAGTTACAGGTCAAAACCGATATAAAGTAAAATTGAATCTACCTGTAGCCATATGTGCTTTGATTAAGCCAATATTTATTGACTTAAGTGCCGATAGTTTGTTAACTAAGTGTTTTTTTCATGGTGGAACCCAAAACAATAATGAATCAATAAACAATGTTATATGGAAAAAGTGCCCAAAACAAACTTATGTTAGTAAAACAATACTTGAAATTGGTGTATCATCTGCAGTTTTAGAGTTTAATGAAGGAACAGCTGGAATTTTAAGTGTATTTTTAAAACTTGGCATTCATACTGGAAAGTACATGAATAAAGCTACGAATGTATTGAATGTGACACGCATAAGTAATGCGATAAAAAAACTAGCAAACAAGGACTTGCAAGAAGAAAAAAACTTAGAGCTATAAAAAGAGGTTTCTCTGACAAAGAAAAGGAAACAGAGCAAGTAGATTCCTATATATCTGAAGCATATTAGTTTTTTTTAGCGTAAAGTTAGTTATATTTGAAAACATTTTTTTTAACGATCGTTTTCTTTGTATTTAAATTTTCATATTGGTACAAATATATCTCGAGTTCTACATGTCAAATTGACTTGAAATTTTCACAGTATGTGCATTGCACTAGTGCTAACAAAATGTACCAAAATCAACATAGTTCTGCAAGGTCAAAGAAAGTTATGAATAGTCAAGTCCATTTTTTTTATCATAAATTTCTAACATCTTAGTAAAAATACCATAACATTTTTTAAAATAATTTTTTTTTACCATTTTGGTACATTTTGTTAACACCCATGCATAAATGCTACCTTCAAAATTTGATAACAATCGGACCATGCAATATGGAGTTATCTATGTACCATTATGGGGTCCTTTTTTACCTAATTATGCTAATTAATGATGTTAAAATATTTTTTTTTTTTTTTTAATAATTTTACTTATTTTATTTATAACGAAAAAAAGTTATTAAACAAGAAAAATCTCTCTATTGTGTTTTTTAAAGAAAATAGATTGAATGGGGATGTACCACTTTAAATATAAATTTAGAAATTTGATATCATGTTTTTAATAAAAAAAAACTTTTTAAAATCCTCTTAAGGCGAGTTTCCACTCATCCGTTTTTTAACGGGAACGGGATAGGAAACGAAAAAATAATCACGTGAGCATGCGTAATAAAAGTTTTTATTTGTCCGAAAGAAAACTGCGCATGCTCACGTGATTATTTTTTCGTTCCCTTTCCCTTTCCCCTAGAAAAACGGATGAGTGGAAATTCACCTTTACTGGTTTTAAAAAAGTTGAGGTCGTTGTGTGGCAAATTTACATCATTAGTGCGCTCTTTATAATTTTTTTTTTTTATTTAAAATGAATACAAAAAATTTTTATAGTTAATTTTATAGTTTATTGTATTCTAATTATATATACATATTACATTCCCCTTATCTTTAACCAAACTAAACTTATTTGTGAAAAATTTGAAAGGTAATTGTAAAGGTAATTGTTAAAGAAACTTCACTTTTTTCATATCTTAGAGTCAGATTGCATTGCATTGGGTTTTACCTTTAACAGTCCATGCCGTATTATCACGCAAACTTAAAGTGGATTCCAAATGTTCATTTAACTGTTTTATGCATCTCCTCTAATTTCTTTCTTGTTTTTCAGTAATTATGCGTCTATTTGTCACAAATTTTTTATTACATAATTACAGAGCTTTCGTTTCAATAATTCACTTTTACACGTATTTACTTTAATTTTAAATATGACGGAAGTTTTTTCTGTGCAAAAGTCATTATCAAAAAGTAAATATTTACTACAAGAAGCGACTTGAACTTTGAAGTCTGACTTTGTCATGTTAGACTTAAAAAAAAAGCTCGAGCAAATACGCAAACGAAACTTGGAAATTTCAGATCGCGCTTGAGTTAGTCAAACTTGAAAAACTTAAAAGGCGTTGATTTAAAGGTGGAATCGGTAAAAAGAAACTTTTCAAACGGCAGAGAATTTAAGAAGGGAAAATCGTTTAAAGAAAGCAAATTAACAATATATTTTTAAATAATACAAAACTAATTGAAAATGTATTACAAAAATTAAAAATTTTTACCTTTGTATTTTATTTTTATTAAAAATTGGTAATTTGATAAAAAATCACTGGATTTAATTGAACATGTTTGAGTTAGCTTCAATTTAGTCCAAGGATCTAACTACGACGTAACAGCTGCTTGACTTTTAAATGGCATATCTGCTATGCGGTTATCCGCAAAGCATATATGTTGAACACATGGTATTTATTAATCATTTTTCTTGTTGAAATTTTTATTAAAAAAAAGTTAACAAGGCTGCAAACAAATACTATTTACGTTGGAAAATAGCAGAAAATTAATAAAAATTATTACAACATTTTTCAATACCAGAACAAATATCAACTTATAGAAGTAGAGAACAAAATCGGTAGAAGGAAATGGTTAACACAAGTTAAATTTCATATAATGTACGACAAAAATTTTTGTTATAACGGTTAAAAAGTCAGCAGTAGAACGATATTGGGGCGGATCCAGCATTTTATAGTCTTTGAGATAGCTAACCTCCAGACACGGAGTAAACTCTAAACAAATATATGTTTATACTCATGTCAAATAAGGATGCTTTGCAAAAAATTGCTCTTCAGTTTGAGATACTTGTATCATTGTATTTCAATGATACAAGTATCTCCTTAGTAACTTCCAAGTAACTTCCTGTTATTTCAATGATACTTGTATCATTGAAATAACAGGAAGAGTGTAGCCATTTGGTTCGATATAAGAATTAAAGAAAAGGTTTTTTTGCATTTATTAAGTTTATAATAAAAATAACTAATTTCAGCTTAACAAACCTATTTATTTTTTGAATTTTAGTAAAAGAAAGAAAAAGAAGACTAGTGAAATTAGCCTAACTAAACTTTAATACCCTTATAAGAGACGATATTTTGCAAATATTGTCACAAAATCATGTAAAATTTTATGGGGATAATGCAATCTTAAAATTAAAATTATTAAAGTTTCAAAAAACTTGAAGTTTATAAGAACAAAACAAACTTAATTTTTTTTTTGTTGCTTTTTACATATAGCATTTTACAATATCGATATTATTATATACCAAATGACAAAATGAGTCACTGAAGTTCATTTTTTAAAGCAAAATCTTCTAAAATTATCAGAATACTTAAAGTCCAAAAAAAATAACAAAAGTAATTTGACATTAAAATAAAAATTTACAAAGAAATATTGCCTAATATTTATATAATTTTACATGTTAATACACTGATTTTAATAAACGCAATTTTAAAGATTATCTTATAAAAGCATTTCTGTTTCTGAATGTTATTTTTATTTCATAAGATAATACTTTTTATTTCAAATTGAGTTCTTCATTTACTTTATCAACAAAAAATATTTTGTTTGTTGATACGTTTCTATTATCGCTTTTTCAAGTTGGTTTTTCAAGTCTAACTGGAAAACAGCCGGTTTTCAAGTACAACTTGAGTTTAAGCTCTTTGCATTTGCTTAAGTCAATTTTTAGACTTCAAGTACGACTTAAAATTCTAAGTTTGTTTCTTGAATTCCACCCCTAGTTTCCAATTAACCAGATTCTACCAATTATATGAGGGGAAAAATCAGTGGATTTGAAACAAGATTAAGAAATGCGGTTTCTCACTTACTTGATATTGATGGTGATATTTGTCATCATGTGCACAATGTTGTCAAAAAGTTTACTTCTTTTTTCGGCAAAGTAGTTGAAAATTTATTGTATAATATCTACATTAATTTTAAGTTTACCCCAGGTCTTCGTACATTTCTAAATATTTTTTTTCAATTCACAGGTGTCATATACAACACTCCAAAGCAAAGGGTTTCTCATCGGTGGTTGTCTGTTTTAGATTGCGCTCTACCTGAAGATGATGCCTGCTTTTACCTTAATTTTTTCTTCTTTTTTTATCAAAACATGACATCTCTCTGTAAATATGAAAGTGACAAAATTTTTAAGAGGCTATCAAATAAAAGTGAAAAACTAATAAAAAAAATAAAATGCCAAATGCAGCAGAAAAAGCTGAAAGAAAAGCTAGAATTGTTAAAAGTTTATTTTTCCAACTTAATGAAACTTACTTTATATTAACTTGTACGTTGAAATTCTTCCTATTTTTATATAATTTATTTTAACTTTATAATAAAAAGAACCGTTAGTCCATCGAATTTATGACGAGCAAATTGAACTGGTGAAAAGAATTTTAACTTGTTTCATTAACCCAAAGATGATAAAAAGTATAACAGGAACATAGTTAAAAGTTTTAAACCTAAAAAAAAAAAGTGTATCGCCATTTGAATTACATAAATCTTGGAAGTAATGCTGAAAAATATTTGTCAAAAATAATTATTTGAAGTCCTGGTTTCAAATCATCTTTTTTAAGACCTTGCTAGATATTTACCTTGAATCATTAGTTTATTTACTTCATAAATTTCTTTTTAACAACCATTTATTAGAATACTTCTCTGCGATCAACCCAATGCCTCAAGTTCACAAAATTACTGAGAGAATGCTAAAAAAACTTTTAATTTTCTTTCCCATTGTAGATATAAGTAAAGAAGTATTTATTCGAGAAGTTATGCAACTTCAGGTAGATATAGTTCTTCTACCCGTATTTGCTGAAAGAAAACCCGTCAGTCTTGACTATTGGTGGGCAGATGTTTTTAAGTGTAAAAGATATTTAGAGCTTAGTAAAATTATCAAGGTATGTCTAAACATATACAGTAGTCCTCATGTTGAGCAATCATCCAGCAGTATGTTTTACAATATATAAGAATAAAAAGTATTATTTTCTGAACCATCGTCAAACATTTTATATTTAAAAAGTAAATAAATTATTACACTTTGCAGATTGTTTACGATAAAAATGATATATTATATTTAATTTTAAAAATGTTTAGAGAAACGTAATTATTCAATAGTTTTTAGTAACTTTATTTATCCTTTAACCGACGTTCCAGAATTTAACCACATACCTTTGTCAATTTTTGTTACGTATATACTATACTTAAACATTTTTTTGTTGATATAAAAAATATTTTTTTCAGCATTTTAAGCATTTAATAAGCTTTTTATGTACTATTGGTATTGTAACTTTTCCATTTGAGATTTTATGAAACTGTAATTCCAAGATCTTTTTTGGTATCAGAGACTGTTAATATTTTGTCGCCAAGTTTATAAATATAGAAAAAAGTAAAAAAGTAAGTTATAGTGTCTGCGTTTATTTTCCAGAGCACTAATTATGAAAAGTAAAGTTTTTAATAAAGACTATTAAACCAGTCATAAAAGATCCGTTCATAGTGGTAAAAAGGTTCATTTATAAACCAGTGACGGATCCAGGGGGACGGAATAGGGTATGCATCCCCCTCCCAGCAGAACCTGAATGTCCTAAAAATATCTTTGAGGACCTATTTTTTTTAGGAGATGGAAATAAGATAAAAATATTTCAACATCTCTCGCCAAAAATTTCCTGGATCTGTCACTGATTATCACAGTGGGAGCCCCAGAGAATCCTTATGTGATGGAACTCGGATTTTTTGGTATAATTTAATTCCTGACATGGAGCAAATTCCAAACATTTGTATGTTTATACTTATGTCAAATAATGAGGCTTTGCAAATAATTGTAGTGATCGGAGGCAGGGAATGAAAAAGCTCTTTGACTTTATCCCACTTTCTCATCCCAAACGTGCAAGTTGAAATTTTTTTTTTGCAATATCCTTAATTTGACAATCATTGATAAATTTTAAGTTTCATAGTATTATCTCTCAACTTTCAAAAATTATAACCATATAAAGTTTAAACTCCCCTAAATTTGAGGGATTTACAAATTTTAAATGATAATAACGTTTGGTGATGAAAATAGCTAATTTACGGCCATGGAGAAAACTCCAAATATTTGTATGTTTATTCTTATGTCAATGAGGCTTTGCAAAAAATTGTGATGATTGGAGGCTGGGAATGAAAATGCCCTTTTGGACTGCTACCTTAGCATCAAAAATACGAAAAATCAAACATCAGAATGCTGATAACGATGTCGAAGTGAATGATGAAATACAAGGTAGGGAATATACAAAGTTAGAAGACATAATAAAAATTAAAACATAAATTTCAACATGTGATATATCTATAAAAGAAGAAACAACATCTTCTGATAAAACATTTGAAGAGGACGCATATTCACAAATTCAAGATAAGGACGCAAAAGATGAAAAACCGTGTTATATTGTTGTACAGGAATAAGCAGAGAAATAAATTTTGAATCAAATTGTTTACTCCAGTTTCCTGACCCAGAAGAAAAGGATGACATAAATATTATTAACTTTGATACTACTTTCAAAAAATGTTTTGAAAATGAGAAACGCTTTTATCAGAAAACTTAATATTAAAGCTCAAAATATTATAATTGACAAATCAGATTCATCAGCATTGATAAGCCACGACCCAGGTTTACGTCCACATAAAATTACGGGTAATAAAAAAGCGCATTTACATCAATTAGAGCCACACCAACCAAAACTTGGTTATTTTCCAAGTGACGGAAAAAAATAGATTTAACTCTCAGTGGTACAAAGAGTTTGAATACAGCACCCAAAGTTTGAATTCAGCACGTTTAGAATACAGCACCTAAAAGGATGCCACATTTTGTTTTTTCTGCTGCTTTTTTCCCAAGGGTGTTGGAATGAAAAAAAAACTGAAGATGCTTGGATAAATGTTGGGGTAAGACCTTGGTCCAAGATTACACAAAATGTCATTAAAACAACTGATCACTATTGACAACTTCTTGCAACGAGAAGATTTATAATCTAACAAAAAAAAAAAATTCAAGAACTAAAAACAAAAAATGCCCTTTCAAAAAATTAGTTAATATTTTTACTTTTGTTATATTTTTACTTTTTGTTATTTTGTTATATTTTACTATATATAGTTAATATTTTTACTTTTACATTTGTGATACTATTATTGTATTTCATTTTACGTCTGACGACGGTCTAGGCTAATCAGACTGAAATATTTTATAAATAAATAAAAAATTAGTATTTAGTTGTATTTTATGTTTTATATATGAAACAAACAAGAAAAACCAGATTTCCTAAAAAAATTTTTGTTCATCAAACAATGATTTATATGAGTAATTTCTAACAATACATGCAATATATTTATTAAAAACAAATACATATGTATTAAATGACTAAATATAATATATAAGTATTTTACAATTATAGAAGTCTGGTTACCAATGATGACTCGTTTTGCTAGCTGGGAGTCAACATTTTGGGATAGAAGTTATGAAGATTATGAAAATGGTTTTGGTCTGGTAAACCAGCAATGGATTGGCTTGAAAAAACTCAATCAGATAACAAGCACTTTCATAACAGATATGAGAGTTGATTACTTTTTTATCGAAGATATTGTATTTAGTACAATGTATTATAATGTCAGGTTTGGATCAAGTGTCGAAAAATACGTTTTAAACTATGATAGATACGATCCACGAGGAAGTAAGTTGCTTTATTTTGCTTTAACTTGCTATATTTATGATACCTTTAGTTTAATTTTTGTAATGTTTCATTGTTCCACCCATACCCCATGTTAATAAACGTGAAACGTCTTTTAATACAACTTTAATTTCACAAGGCTGTAGTTGCTACAATAGCAGGTTACCCATCACTGTGATAGCAATTTCACTGAGGTTATCACTGTGATAGCAATTTCACTGAGGTTATCACTGTGATAGCAATTTCACTGAGGTTATCACTGTGATAGCAATTTCACTGAGGTTAACACTGTGATAGCAATTTCACTGAGGTTATCACTGTGATAGCAATTTCACTGAGGTTATCACTGTGATAGCAATTTCACTGAGGTTATCACTGTGATAGCAATTTCACTGAAATTAAAAAAAAAATCAGATTGCTTTCTATAAATTTGCTACTTAAATATTTTATGAGGATCTAAGTGTTCTATTATGTCACCTTAGAATCTCAAAATACTATCTAAAATGTCATATCCGAAAGAAATAAAATTTGTTATAAAACAAACTTTTGTATAAAAATATATTGTCACCATAGAATACAAATGAATGTTCAAAAGAAATATTCACACATTCCTAATCTTAATATATTTTTTGATTTTTTACTTTAACAATAATGAAGAATTTAATCACTATACTGATTACTTTAATTATTTTTAATTATGATAGATAATTATGATAGGGGTTTACGGTAACACGGAAAAGAGGTCCGGGAAAAGTTTTTCCCCTCCCCTCTGCTTTTTTTAAATGTGAAATAATAAAAATTGTGATATAAAATATAAGAACACCTTAAAAAACCTTTTTGTTCTATTTTACCCATATAAAGTCTTTATAAAAACACTGTTCCCTTAAGACATGAAGTTATTGGTTAAAAAAGCACGTGATATATAAAACGCTTGACTAACTTATATTGCTATCTTCTAATAAATCACACAAGTGATGATAAAATTTAAGGGTTTTCCTGAAACTAGAAATTATTTTGAGTTATAAGACCTGAAAAAATCAAATAAAAGTTTTATTTATTATTTTGATGTATATATAAGCAATAATTAGATTATAAAACTAAAATGGCTTTTTCTCATAATATCGCATTTGCTTTTGATCTTGAACATTTTGATTTGCATATTAGTGCAACTGCAAAAATTAATGACGAAGGAAAACGTCATGCCAATTTGTTCTATAATATTAGTATGCAGAAAATCGTCGCTGTGAAAAAAATAAAGTATATATGTGGGTTATTTTAAATAAATAAAACCATCATTTGGTGAATTACATAAAATAATGCTGTTAATCATATCTTTTAGGTTATGAAGCATCTGATTTAAATACTACTGATCATCTGTTTTGTTGCAAACTGGTTCAATATCTTTATTTTACAATATTTATTTAATCGATTTTTAAATATCTTTGTATTTATGTATGTAAACAGTGAGTTTAGAATTTGAGCTCTTCTTTCAAAGGATTAAACATCGTTAAACGTTAAAACATCGTTAAATCGTTAAACCCCGTTAAACTGTATTTTTTGAAATTTGACTGTACTTCTTTTTCTACCATATGTTTTTTGCAATTTTACAAACAATGCAATTTTTATACATACATACCCATTTGATTCGTAAAGTCCATCAGTTACTACATTTGGTTTTTTAAAAGAAGGCAATTTAAATTCTGCGATAAGAATTTTCTAGCAACTTTTTTCAAAGTATATCAGTTTAATAAATGTTAAAGCTGAACAAAAACTCTAAGAAAACATTTATAAAAATAAAATATTTATTTAAATATTTATTTAATTATTTAAATAATTAACTGTTTAGCTTATATAAAAATATTGTTGTTGTAAATTAATTTGCAGCAAATGTGAACTTTTAATTAAACATGTTGATCTTTTTATAAACCAGTCTTTTCGTTTAGCTCGTATGTTTAGTTTCAGAGTCCCATTCTCGTCTTGACAGAAATTTTGGCACAAAAGAAAACAGAAGTAACAAAAAATATAAACAGTGTTTCTACGGACATGATAATTATATTTTAAAGTAACAATATTTTTTATGGTCTTGATTATTAACCTGATTACTGTTTTTAGGTAAATTTTAGAAAACTAAACATATGGTGGCATCTATTGTTCCACATTGCACTCATGATGGTTTAGGTGAGTGTCAATAGCAGCTGCAAGATAAGGTTTTTCTCCAATAAATTTTTAGTTTTTAGCAAAAAAAATTAAATTTATTGGAGATAAATTGTTTTGGGTTGTCAGGGAGTACATGTTTAAAATATTCCTATATTGTAACAGAAATAGAACAGTAAGAAAAGATTTACAGATTGTTCTCAGTTTTTCCGCAAGTTTTGCACTTGTTACTTTTAACAATCTATTGCCGCGTGCTTTTGGCAAACAAGGCTACAAAAGGTAGGTTGTTTTAAAGAAATTAAAAAAGGATATTTTGTGTTGGTCCGTATTCGAGGGAGGAAAAGTTATTTCCAAATCTGGGTCCACGGCATTGTTGTTTTGTTAAACGGATCCAGAAAAGTTCTGCTGGCACAATTATCTTTTTGTTTTTTGCCACTTTTAAGTAAAAATTTTTGTTTAATTTTAAGGAGATGTTAAATAAACAAGGAGATGAATAAAAAGGAGATGTTAAATAAAGTAGATAAACAAAAAATCTTTTTTTGCCTGAGATTTTAATTGTTATCTTTTAGTACTGAGACATTTTGTTGTTCCAGTGTTTTAGAAAAATGTTTTGCCTTAAATAATTCCAGTATTTTTTGATTTTAATTCAATGTATTTTTTATGCAAACTTGCCTACCTTAATAATAATAGTAAGCTTTTACCTCTTCTCATTCTTATATTTGAAAAGCCTTTTGAGACGAAGTGCTAGGCTTCGTTCCTTTGGAGATAAATTTCTGAGACCCCAACATTGACAGGTAAGAAAAGTTTCTCGCGTTTGATCGGATTGAATGGGGTCTTTTCATACAGGTTTTCAAAAATGGCTCTACGCACACGCCATTACCATTTAGGAATAAGCAACACGTTTTTCATAAACCGCCATTTTAAAATTACTAGCGTATTTATCAACATAATCTTTTCCCTAAATGACAAAGTACACAGTTCCAGAAAATTGAGATTTTTTTCTATTTTTTTTAGGGCTACTAGGCAGTTGAAGTTAGTAGTTTTACTCAACCTGATAGAAAATTAACACATATTATTTTGAAACCGGTGTTATTTTTCCGCTCTATGTCGTCCAATTCTGTGATCAAAAAGCCTAGGAGAAGACTCTTGGTTTTTGAAGCGTTGATCACTAAACCACATGCTTTTTCATATAATTTTACTCTATCAAAAATAGCGGACATGTTTTAAAGTTCGAACTGTCTGCGTACTGCTGTAGGTTTAGAGATTTTGTTGTTCCGGTAGTGGAAAAACCGGACAGCAGAATAGATTCTGCTGTCCGCTTTGATCACCAAAGCAAGAGCTTCAGGAAAAAAAACTCATAGCAAAAAGAGAAAGGGGGTTACCTTGTCTGACTCTCCTTTCCGTTGCAAAGAAGACGAACAAAAACCAGAATTCAGAACAAATGCCGAAACTTCTGAAAATAAAGTGATAAAAGACAAAATTTTCTCCAAGATTCAATTTTGGCGAACGTAAAATTCAGCTTTTAATCCGTCATAACCCGGAGATTTTTTGTTTTTAAATTTAAAAAGCTTCTTTTAGTTCCACGCCAGTTAGGCGGGTATTTAAAAGTTGTTTATACCATCACTTAAATGTTTAGTTATGTAGGTATGTAGTGATAAGACATAGTTTTAACTGTCTTCATATACTTTTTCCACTGTAGCGTTATTTCGAAGATATACAAAAACTTTAAAAGGTTTCTCTCCAACATCTATTTGTTATTATTTCACGCGAATTTTATTGTCAACTGCAAATTTACACTTAACTTGCTGATGCATTGCACAGTGGGCCAGAATGGCAAATTTTGATACAAAAATAATAACTAATTTATTATTAGTGCTATATTCATCAAATTTGGTTCGAGTACTAAAATGAAATCTGGGATTTTTTTGAATGTATTTTTTTTATTGAATGTTTGCTATGGGTACCTTATTTTGCATTGCAACAAGTTATTTTTGGGAGTTGCAGGTTTTTTTAATGTTATTTTTGCTATACTGTTTATGCGCATTTATATGAAGTCAAAGATACTTGAATTGTATGTATGATACATGAAAGAAGTATCTTTTTATTTGGTTGCTATGGATATCTAGTTTTGCATTACAACAACCTTTTTATGCTTGTTGTAGTGTTTATTTGTACTGTGTACATTACATTTGGTACTTGTATATCTTATTGTTTCTATATTTCTTATTTTTTATCGATTATCACACTTGAAAAAAACGGTTAAGCCCACTACCTGGGCCATTGTGCATGTATCACTCTCTTACATTACCCAATTATTTAAAAAACCCAGTTAAAGATAAAAATATAAAAACTATTATTTTTATCATAATATTAATATTAATAACGTAAACTAATTCCTATTGCATTTAATTTTTTAAAAAACAAGTTCATTAATTTTAAAGTTACCTATACCCTCGCAGTTAAACATCTGCTATTGAAAACATATTTTTTTGTGGTTTTACAAACAATAAAAGTATTTGAAGAAATTATTAATCGAAAGTTTATCAAAATAATATTTATCATTGCTGATAAATTTATAAAAATTAGGCAATGCTATTAAGGTAATTATATTGTTTTTTAATATAGTAACTCTAATATAAATTCATGTACAAAATATTTATAAAACGTGCTGTCTAGTTTTTATTTTAGAAAATAAAAAAAATGTGAATTACACCATTGTATAAGAAAAAATAATTTGAGTATTTTATCTAAAAATATCAATAACATTTTAAGTACATATATTGGTGGTAATAGTTTAAAATTGGATCAATTTAATGTGTTGTATAAATGAAAATGAAAAGATGCAAAAG